AGTTAACATAGCTAAATATGGAAAGAAATTCGGAGCACACAGTTGGGTGACAAAATCACTGTTAATATAGGAGACCTGAAAAAGGATTCCTAGAGGGTGGGGTAACTATGTATGGTGTAAGTGAGAAAAATAAGTCTGTGTTAAAACACACACCTAGTCTAAGCTGGGCATGACAAAAGCATTATGTTTAATAACTTCCTCTTCAAAAATAGATGTTCAATTTTTTAAAAAAAACTATTATTCCATATATGATAAAACAAATTACAATGTTTTATCTTTTTTGGATAAAATATACCTGAAAAAGAATTCCATGCAACTCTGAATATAATTGCAGAAGCTGTGATAATGGTGAAAAGTTGGGTTGGGGAAAAATAACTAATACCGTGTTATAATCCTATGGCAGCTAATTTTTCATTTGATACATCTGTGATCTCTCAAGATCAGAGGGAGGAAAGAGGAGAAACATCTGGGCCTCCAGATGTAGTCAAACTAAACTTCCAGCAACACCAGCTTCTGAATATAATTGCAGAAGCTGTGATAATGGTGAAAAGTTGGGTTGGGGAAAAATAACTAATACCGTGTTATAATCCTATGGCAGCTAATTTTTCATTTGATACATCTGTGATCTCTCAAGATCAGAGGGAGGAAAGAGGAGAAACATCTGGCCCTCCAGATGTAGTCAAACTAAACTTCCAGCAACCCCAGCTATTTGGTGGTAAATGTTCAGCAACATCAGGAAGATCCTTGATCTAGATTACTACAGCTAAAGGCATACATATGCCATATAGGAATATTTATGGTTATATAGCTTTTCAGACTACACATAACAAATAAGCTGATCAAGAAAGAAAATTAAGGAGCACGGGAAGAAGATGATGCAAACTGTATTAATTGAATAGGACTTATTTAGTGCAATTTCTTTCTTTATGGTATTTGCTGACCATCCCAGTCTTACTTGTGATGCACACAACAGAGTAAAAACAAAACAAAAACATTCAAATAATAAAATAATAATCAAAAATACAACAAAACATACATTTGGAGGAACCCCTGCAGCCAAAAGCTCATTGAAAAAGGAAGGATTTGATCATCTTCCTGAATACAAGAAGGGAAAGAGCCTTTTGAGGGCAACATATTCTATAATACAGGTGCTGCCGAAGAAAAGGTTTGCCACAAAGATGAATGTAATGTGCTAAATTTGGGTATATAGATTTGGATCCAGAGATGTGCAAGGTTATATCTATTTGTGCATGGGGAAAGAGGTTCAACCTCCCTCTGTAGCATTCTCCTCCAAAGTTTCCTCATGAGATATAAAGGACTAAGGGTGGACCACAAAGCATCACCATGACTCTGCGGAACTGCTGTGCACGTGCAGCTGGATTTCTCTAAGTCCAATCCTCCTCTCTACCCACCACAAAACTATAGTGTGGCCTTCCTCCTACATGGGGATGTATTTCAACCGGCAGTATGAACATTATTTCTAGCACAGACACACAATAATGGGTAATCATAACAGTAGTATGGGTAATAATAGTAACAACAACAACAACAACTTTGCATTTCAGAAGAGTCTTCGCATACTTTATTGAAGTAATCCTTGCAATAGCCCTGTAAAGTAGTCTAATTCATCCTGTGCTGCACCTTTGGAGGGTGGGGTGGGCATGGAGTAAGTATGGACAAACAGTAATCCCCTAGATTTGTGTTTGAGATGACATCTTGGCCAGAGAGACTTCTTGAACCCCAGCTCTCAAACAGTGTACAAATGCAGTTGTTCCTGAAAATATGAGTGGTATCAATGATGAAAAAAAGAAGAGATGTGCAAGAAATTGCATGTAAAATAAAGAGGTAGCCAATACATTCCATATATTCTTTCTGTAGCATTAGATAACTGATGAAAACATGCTTGTGCAATGGCTTTTCAACAGCAGGTAGAAGTATCTTCCTCTGCTATCACAATGTTGGAATTTTACATGGGTTACCCCAAACTTAGTTCAGTTTAATGAAAAATTTATGCCCCATTGATTATTGGACATCTTCCTATTTCAGATCCAAAACAGGTAACATATAAAATATAATTTATGCTCTGTGTACAAAATCTGATGTTTCCATATTTCTAAGATCCACAACAAAAGAAAATAAGAAAGTGTGTGTGTGTGTGTGTATGAAATCTTATGCCATTTTGACCATGGCTAGCAGTGACAAGCATGACTCAGGAAAGATGACTGATCTTCATAGGAGGCTTCCCCCAATGTTATAGAAAGTTCCTTGCTCATTAAGGAAGGATATCATACTAATTCCATCTTATTAATTATCCATTGTCATCATTCAAAATATTACTGTAATTGTTATTTAGTGATACTGCTACCACCTACTCTTGCTTTTTTAAAAAAGCTCGTAGCCCGAATGACTGAGCATATTAACAATTCCTTCAAAGCTGTTAATTGCTCTTTTAAAATCAATAAAGAAATGGCTTTAATTTGCACATAAACCATTTTTTCCTATTCCCCTTCTTATGAAGTAGAATACGAATGAAGAAATTACTGTTGTCCATTAAGCTGTTTTTCACCTTCACAGTTTAAAGTGATTTCTAAGGAACAATTCAAACAGGTTTCCTGGACAAACAGCTCATCAGAGTATAAACAGCTTAGTGGATGGCTTGACTTTAGTATACAAGTAGGGCACTATATAATTAAATGGTCCAGCGTCTGTCACATTCCAAACTCTCCTGCACTGTAACACTTTTGCATTCTGTGTGTGATATGAGTTTGCACCTACAGTCTGAAATATAACAAAGAACATGCTACGAACAGCATGCCCTGTGTATCTCAAAATATCACAAGTCTGAATGAACTACTGTGTCAAAGGTGTGTCCAAAAAGAGAAAAATTGAGCTCAATGTTTAGAAATTACACTCTGCCTAAAGCAAACGTAAGAATCTTATTTTCCTCCTACTTCATATGCTTGGAGCCCACAGTAAATTAGTAAAATATCTAGGCCAATTTTTTGTTTCAGGAAACTAAAACACAAAAGCTACCTTGAAATTTTCACATCACAAAGAATAGGTGGAAAATAATCCATAGCCTATATTATCTATGTGATGTAGAATGAAATACAGCTGAAAAGCCAGATATGGTACCCTAACAGGCATCTTAGGGGGGCATCAACATCTATTGGCCATATTTACCACAACAGCTATTCTAATATACATGATATCAATCCACACCATGGTTGTGTCACAGGGAAAGATGAGGTTGTAGACCCAGCTACTAATTAGCTCTTTTTATAACTCTTTCCCTGCTGCAACTGTTCTACCTGGTCATAGTCTAATTTACTATGTAACAAGATAAAAAATTCAGCTTCAGCCTGAGTTGCTTAGTTTCATGTTGTATTATGTCTGTTCGCTTATATAGCATTGATTTGTATTTACCTTAATAGATCCCAAATTGTGCTGATCTTGTCAGATTCCACATCTATCCTGTGACTGGATTTGAAATCTTTCAGTATTTTATCATAACTTTTTATTTTCCCTTTGATAGCCAGAACATGAAACTCTATTAATAGGACTCTAGGCTGGCAGCAAAAAACCCCAAACAAAACAAACACACACACACACACACACAAAACAGGATATTTACTTAGTCTTTGGAAAGAAGCCATGCATTGTGGCCGAGATGTGGCTTTCTGGTAGGTCCCTAGTAGTTCTGATTTATTCATCAGCACATAATGTAGGAAATTCATCTCTCTTAAAACAAGCATTTAGACGAGTTTCTGTCGTAACAAAATTACATCAGTTTAAGATTTCTAAGTTTACTTCAAGAGCCAGTTTGGACTAATGGTTTAAGGCACTGGACTAGAAGCAGGACAGCCTTAGTTCTAGTCCTGCCTTAGGCACAGAAAGCAACTGGGTGACTTTGAGCCAGTCACTCTTTCTCACCTTAGAAAACTGCATGGACTTGCCTATATAGTTGCCAGGAATCAAGTCCAACACAAAGTAAAACACAAACAAAAAACAAAACCAGTTCAGTTTACAAATACAATATCTATTCTGTCTTTTGCAAAACCATTTACATATTTACAATAATTTGCAGTGGGCAAATTGCTGAAATTTATCCTCGTATATGACTATATTCTAGCCTTTTGGCTCTGAAAAACATAATAATTTCTTATTGCAAGAGCAAATGAGCTCCTACCTACAGCATTCTTCTTAAATCTTGAGGGTCTCAAAACTCGAGAAAACAGTATTTACTTATGTATTTCAATGCATTATCCTGAACAGGATTCCATTCGGGATTAATTGTAAAAGGTATACATGGATGGATGGAGAACTGAAGTTAAGCTACACCTCAGGCACTTTCCATGGCAGAAAATTATTTAGCTAGAAACAACTAGTATCTTTTCTGTGCTTTACTCAAAGCAAAGTTACTTCTATTGGCTCTCAAAGTATTTTTACATATGGATGGCAGACCTTTTTGATGATCTAAAAAAAGACCCAGTGCCAATCACCTCTGAATTGCCATAAATATGCAATAAAAGAACCCCCTTTCAGGTACTTTTAACTCTACCAAATTACAAATCAACCAACTGCATAGAAGGAATTTTCAGAAAAGTCAGTTGATTTTACACTCTAATTTTAAATTGTGTAACAGGAGTAAAGTAAAAACTAAAAAGGACAATATGGCTATGATTACATACAGTACCTTTAACTCTATTTCATTTCAGTTAAACATAGGTTTCAACCTGGAGTTCTCTAACTATACGTTTATTACCCTGAAACAAATAAGACTTAAAATAAGTTTGGCTGGGTGATGCTGTTTGTGTTTTATTTCAGAGTTAATAATTAGATAATACATCTCAATAAACAGAAACAGCATTTTTTTCTGCATTTGATTGTATATATTGATTTCACAGCTGTAAGAGTAATAATTTCTATTGAAGGCAGTAAAATATGTATAAGATGCATTGATTAAAAGAAAAAGAAAAAACAGGTTTCATTTTACTTACAGGTTGAAGTAGGTATATTAGGGAACACTCTTGAATAACTACGATGGGCAAGGAGGTTATCTTAACTGCATGAAAGAGAGTTTCCACAGATGCCATGATTTGATCAAAGCGACCTCCAAGTCCACCCAAAGCTACAATCGTGTCCATCTAACAAAAACACAAAACACACATGAACAAAATTAAACAGAATGTTGAAGAAAGGTCCAAACATGCAACTGAGACAGCGTATATTTTGTGCCTTTTCTTGCAAAATATAAATGCACATGGCTACAAAGCAGAAATATGACTTAAGAGACGTTGAACAGATTGCAGAAATATCAACAATATATTTATAAGGGTGGGAGAATTTATGAAATAAGCATATTTAAAGAGATTGGCCTCATTCACTTCATCCTCTCCTTTTAATATGATGAGGATGATCCAAATATTGGTTTTTTTTTTATTTTCTCGGGTTGCAATAATAGCAAACAGGCTTAGGCACATTTCAGTGGTTTTCTGAATGCAGTCTTAATGACAAATTAATGGAAGACAAAGCAAGTAATGGCTACAAGTTGTGATGGCTATATATTATCTCAGATAACAGAGGCAGTAGATATTTCAAAACCAGTTGCTGAGTAATATGAGCAGGAGGATATTGCTGGAAGGAAAGACTAGGCTAAGTAAGCTCTTGGTCTGAACTAACACGCTTTTCTTATATTGTTAGTTTTCACCTATATATGTGATAGCATTACATTTTGAGATCTTATTTGCATAAATATTTTTCTTCTTTGCTTTATGTTGGATTGCCCAAATTCATTGGAGAGATCCAACATATCTCTGTAGTATACACTACCTTGCTGTGCTTGCAAAAACACTTTCTCCATATACACACTTATCAGAGCAGAGATGGCCAATTGACTCCTCTGACTGGCTTGTGGGCCATAGGCTGCCTTCCAGTGATGTTGTCCACCAGATAGGGTGGGGCTAACAGGTTTTGGTCCATTTGTTTGTCAATGGGAAGGGAATTAAGAGAATGGAAGTGTGTCAACTTGTAGAGACTTTGCACTCCTACTTATTTCACTGTTTTGGTCAAAATTTGGTTTAGGAGTTTTGGTCAAAATTTGGTTTAGGAGTTTTGGGAGGTTCAAGCAGTGGGAACTGCTTATATTGCCTTTGTTACAAAAATCACATCATCAAACATTGGTCAAATACTGACATATGGGATGGGATGGATTGCCAACTCATGATACATAGTATATGGAACTTCACAATCTAAAGCATCATTTGCACCCAGAGGCTTAGACACCAAAAGAAAGAAGGAAATTAAAAACATTAAAGGTGAGGGTAAACATAAGGAGAATTGTTATTATTTTATTGTATTTTCAATTAGTTACAATGTAAGAATCAGACGTATGGGATTGTTCAAAACCAGTCTTTATGAGGAGTTTCAAAGATGTAAGGAAAATGACACCATAGAAGCATCTTGATAAGGAATTGCAGGCATCAAAAACAGCAAATGGGAACAATCAGTGGTAGAAAAGCATGAGATGGCAAAAATAGATGAACAAAAATCTTAAGTAGGGACATGCTGAAGAATGATAAAGGAGTGGGGAGGCAAAGCCTGTAGGTTTTTAAAAATAAAAAAAATGAGACATGATCAGGATGTAAGAGTGTAGGGAACGTTAAAGGGTGATTTTAAGGGTACAAGATGGCCAAAGTGATGATTCTCAAAGCAGAATGTTAGATGGGCTTAAGCGTTCCAAGGTGGAAAAAGAAGTAGAGAAAAGAGAAGGTTGTAAACGGGCAAGAAAGATAACCAGAACTTTTTTAAAAGGGCAGAGAGAAAGTTATATATTTCATTCTGTATTCCACATTTAACACTGAAAATATTGTTAACTCTAATAAGTTACCCACCTGAAAGAAGCAGGGGTGGGGAAGGGAGTGTGGTATCTAATAAGCCCTAACCATGGAGAAACAAACTTGATAATACATGATAAAAATTACACAGTTTTTATGTTTTCTTTCCTACTGGGTCTAAAGGTAAGGACAGTTATTTTTTAAACAGCATATTAGGATATGTATAGTATAATCAGAGGTATGAATACAGTACAATTAAAAAATATGTATTGATTCAGCAAAGGAAAAAAATTGGAGAAAAAGAAGTTAGAAGAATAATGTATATGTATTTATAGAACTGATCACAATCACTACATAAAAACTGCAACTTGCATGCAAACTCGGATATCTACTTCATTATACAGGCATAATAGCAGTGGGATAATTGTAAAGTAATGCATCACAAATGTTTATCAGGAATAATAACTGTACAACCTGCTTAACAAAAATTGATTAAACTGATGTGATTTTTCCACATTTGTATAACATTTTAGTACAGAGTTTCCTTGAAAAAATGAACGTAAATCTGATGGGATGCTCAAATTATAGCATTAAAAAAATCTGGATAATTCTTACTGTTTCTTATTGCATTTGTCTGGCAAATAATATATATTTTGAGGGGTGTTTTTTACTAGTTTGATTCCTTTGTTTGCATTTAATTTTAAATTTATGAGGTTAAAACATTCTCCATTTACTTACTGTATATCTGGGCAATTTGTGAAGAAAATGCATTTATTACACATGAATCTAGTATCAAAATGGGAATGTTATTTTGGGTTGAATATTCATAAAATCAGCTCAAACAATCCTACTTGGAGCTCTCTGCCTCAGTCTATATCTAGATGTGTTTCTATGCTCTCTTGGTTTAACAGTGTTGTACTCACAGCTGTATTTTCTTCTTTTATTTTATTGTATGACAAAATTGTTATGCATTCTATAGCACACATTTTCTGTATTGTATGCAAACAATTTCTCATAAAAACCAACTTAAACATAAAATTTAAAGATCCAGAAAATTAAAAAATAATTATTTAATTTAAAATTAAAAAAACTACATTAATTTAACAACAGAAACCAGCTGTTAGCTGAACCGAGAAATGAGAGGTAGCACAAAAGACTGCAGAAACTCTGCTTTCTAGTTCTGTTTGGAATGGCCATCAATCCTTTGGTCTGCATGAAAGTGACTGGAAACAGAATTGTCATAAATCACTCTGCTTTCCCATTGCAACTCCTCCAGGCAACTGGGGATAAGGATTATTGGACTGGATTGTAGAGTTGTTGTATGCCTGCTTCATTTCACTAATTCATGAACTAATAATGACTTAAAGATAATAATACAGTCTATCTTAATGGTTTGATGTAGCGATTACATACTTATTTATCTACATTTGTCTGGCAATCACACTATATGGGATAGATCCAAAATAGACTGCTGGAAATACTAAGTCTTGAAGAAACCATGGCTGATTTGTTTCCATTGCTTTTAGTGAGTCTTTTACCAAGTTTGGCTCCAATCACCACAAATATCTCATCAATTACAATTGTAGGATCCCCAGCTTTCACTTAATACAGTAAAGATCCATCTACTTTGTTATTACACACTGATTTCTACAGAACAATTCAAAGCATGTTTTTAACTTATTAAAATACATGGTTGGTAGAAGCACCTAAGATGTGCCCCAAATTTAACCTTCACAGTCGTGCTTCACTTTCTTTCTTTGTGCCTGCCTGCCTGCTTGCCTACCTGCCTGTCTTATCAAATTTATATAGTCGCCCATCTCACAAGAAGTGACTCTGGGAGGCATAAAATAATCAAGTAAAAAAACAACACAGTTCCAAAAATCCATTTAATATATAGTCCTCAAATAGAGGACATATCAAATATTAAACTAATAAGAACAGATTCTACACTTGATCTTAGCCAAAAGGCCAAGAAGCCTTTTCTTACTTATTTAGTGTTTTAAATTATATTTAGTGGTGCCTATGGCATCAATGTAATAAGCCCCATGCTCTCCATGATGAATCAGTTTGTCACCTTACACAGATGCTTTTTTTCAAAGAAAGAAAGAAGGAAAGGAAAGGAAAGGAAAGGAAAGGAAAGGAAAGGAAAGGAAAGGAAAGGAAGATAGATGATATTGTTCCAGGTTACCTGACAATATCTTCACAAAGGATTGATCCTTCTTATATATATCTTGCTATTTCCATTTTTATTTTTCTAGCCTAAACTGTCTTCATTGTATGATAGGGAAAGTTTAATCTGATATGAAAGCACTAACAGAATATAGCTGTGGACTATGTTATTCTTTATATGCAGTATGTTTTACAGTAAAACTCCAAAGTGAAGAATGAATCCATGATTACAAATTCTTGGATTTGGCACTAAGATATATACAGTATATAGGTCTTCTCTTTCTCAGAGTTAGCACATGTAACATGTATGACATTTAATTCATTGTGTCTCCGTTTTTACTTGCATAAACACATATTATGATGCAAAAAGTGAAAGGTGCTTTTCCAAAGTACCAAAGATTTAGTGAAATAATTGAAGTATAAATTAAAGGAAAGGACATGGAGATTTGCACAAGTATTTTGTCAATGTGTATCCCAAATTCAAAACTGAAATAAGCATGTAAATACTGTTGACAGTTTTTGAAATATCCAAAAACTAATAGGGGAAACATTTTAGTTTGAAATGATTGTAATAAAGTAATTATTAGCCATAGGCTCAGGTACTGAAATATTAAATAATGTAAATCAGCATTCTAATGTTTCAAAAGTTTTTTGGAAAATATTATCAGTGTATTGGCTTGGGGATTGCAGCATATATTATTTAAAAATAAAGGTGGGATAAAAAAATCTAAAAAACCCTCTTTCCTGGCATTCATAATTACAGAAAAAAACGGACTTTTCTTTATATCTGTTACGATTCTATCCCTGACAGAGTTAATCAGTTCATTGGTATGAAATTCAGCTCGGCTAGCTGAGTTACATCTCTATTGATAACAAGTTGAATGAATCCTGGAGCATAAAGATACAAGTGTCCTCTTGGCCACAGAAGATCAATTAACAACTTGTTTGGTCCATAGCATTTAAAACCTCATTAGTAGTAATGGTCTGGACATGTCAAAACTGTGAGCTCAGATCTTTGGATTCCAGCAGTAATCCAATATGAGGAGTGAAATAATAAATAAATTATGGAGCTGCACCTGTATTGGTGTTGTATACTAATATCCAAGATTTATAGCACAAGGAGTTACATATGTCCACTGTGCTGTCGATATTCTTAATTTAATCCTGAATTATGCTATGTTAGCTACTGCAGAAATAACTTCAGGAGCTGTAGAACACCTTTATTATTTTTCACCCGCTATTAAATAATGGCATTCTCTCTCCAAATGTATAACATCCCAGTCCAAAATTATGCAGAAAGCATTCTGTACAATTAAATGGTCAGCACTCTATAACTCTCTTCTGCAAAGTGTCAGTGACATTATTCTTCTGGGAAAAAAGTTAAAGCTCTGAAATCTCAAATGGAAAAGTTCCCATGTCTTTTTTCCCCCTGTATTATTCACACAAGTTTTAGAACCTACCAGCTGCCTTTCAAAACTCTTGCAGTCAGAACAAACTGACTTAAACAAGCTGCGGGGATTCTTCAGACCTCTGTACAATATCACGTGTGATCGTGGACATCTGTCACTGACTTGGCCAGGTATATTGGTTTTGAGGCCACACAATACACGTGTTGCACCACAGGTGCACTAAGTAGCAGACTACATAGGCCAGGCAGAAGAAGAGGAGACAGACAGGAGAAATGGCTGACCTCTTCATGCCATTGCCGTCATGCTTGCATGGAAGGTAAGCATGTTCTAACTTTTAAAGATTTTGTTGCCATGTTGCTTGTTTTTCTTGCCTTCTGTGCATGCTTTGGGACTCAGTCTGTATGATATGAGTGGTCCACCTTGTTTTCTTTGCCAGGGTCCTTTCTATTCTAGCTATACTATCCTGAAAGCCTTCACCCAGTTCAGCTAAACTGAGAATTCCTTTGAGGGAGCAAATGGTAAAATGTTAATTTTAAAGTTGTAGCATGTTTTATTTCCTACAGAGTCTTATTCTTTTAGGATTTTATTTTCTCTTAACAAAGTTACATAAACATCTAACAGTATTTTGAATAATAAGAGTAATTTTTTTGAGTTATGTCAAAGGTTGTTGGTCAATCTTTTCCACTGTTCTAAACTTGGGCTAAAGCAACAAACGATCTCGGCACCTTCAAATGGACACTGGGTTTGCCCACTTCCTTTCTTAACCACCTTAGGAAATTGCTTGTTAATGGATTTTTGGATGATAAGAACCTCTTTAAGGTTTAAGGCTTTTAAAAGGAAAATCTTTACTTTTGAATAAACAGCAAAAAGGTGATTAGAATGTTGATTTTGGAAAGTTATAAATGGATTAAGGGGCCAGATGGACTTGAAAAGTTTTTGAAATTAATTACAAGAATACTTCCTGTGGGTTGTTTAAAATGTTATAAAAATATATATGAAGACTTTGAAATCAACTGCAAGAAATCTTCCCATGGGAAAGTATTGTTGATTAGAAAAAAACACATGACAAGAGAGGACTTTGAAGGTTGAGCAGAGAAAAGCAGAGAGATTATAATTAAAGGAGAAGAGACCTATTAATATAAAATGGAGCAATATTATCTGACTGTGGAAGAATTCAAGGATATTTGAGAACAATGCATTCAGAAATTGCTTTTAAGAATGTCTGCTATTATAAAAATGGATTCAAAAGTAGTTATAGAAGAGAAGCAGATTCTACTGGATAAAACAGAGACTGAAACTGATTTGAATGTGGATCTGAAAATGGATTTTAAAATGTCATGCTACAAGGAGGCTATGGAAACTGATGTTATACTGGATTTACAAATGAAACCAGCTGATGTCTTAATAATTAACGGGGACATACATATAATAAATTAGAAGAGTGATTAGGACAGCTTTCCTATCTTGGATTTACAAAAGAGATGTCTTAAACTTGTAAAGGAGTTTCTGAGTGGAGACAAAGAGAAAATGATAAGAAATCAACTTGTGGGACACTATTTGAAGCTTCAGAATCACAGATCAGGTATTTCACACATGATCACCTTTGAGATTCCTAGCACACGATTTTTCTGGTCCTAGGAGACTGGGGAATTGGCAGACAGTTCCAAGGAGGGCTCCTTGATGCACAGAGGAACTGAAGAAGCTACACAGAGTGTAAATAAGAGGTAGCAAAAATGACTACACAGGAGAGGGAAGCAGTGGCAGCAACAGCTACTGCTGTCTCTTCTCATACAAAATGATCTTCCAGCCACAGCTCCACAACCTAGGGAAAGTATACAGACTGAAAGGCCAGGCTGTGACTAGGCCACAGCTGTGTAACTAAAGTAAAGTCTCCCTCAATCAAGTCTTTTGGGGACTACACGGCCATGCCTGCCTGCCTGCCTAAGTTAAATATATTATTATGTCTCCCCGTTTCCCCCCTATCCTAATAAATTATCTACCACTTTTTAGGAAAAAGGGGGGCTTGTGGCATCACTCAATGCATTCTTCCGCACATTCCTTGTCAACCTCACTACCTTTTGAACCAGAGACCAGATTCCTTCTGAAAGAAATGACTCTTATGAAGTAAGGTGATATATGCACCGTACTTGCTTATTTATATAAATAAACATATTTTAATCCTATTTTTGAGACCAAAGCACCACATTAACCTAAGAAAGTAAATAAATAAATATATGGGCTAGGGAATGCTATGGATTTAAATCCAACACATCTGGTAGGCAACTATGTTAGAAAGAGTTGGACAAGGTCTTCTCAAACATTGGTATGAATTTCTTTTCAAAGACAGTCTGCTAAATATATGAAACCTGGAATGGTATAGGTCATGTGTGTCATCTGTACTACTTCATTATGGGTCTTTGAAACAGCTCCTGGCATCTTAGAGACTAGATCCAGTAAGTATGGTATAAATATAACGAAGGAAGATAACTTTTTAATACACCTAGTGGGGAATCCTGCCAGGGACCCAAAACAGCATGCTTCATTCCTTCCCTTTCCCTTCCTCTGGTATATTTACATGCTACAAGAATGCGACATTATGTACAGAATATTTCAACTTTTATAGATAAAGAGGTAGATCTTTTGCATTCTTATGAACTAATATCTGAGAATTTAGGTTAATTGGTGCATTGCTGTGCTACTAAACTGTATCGGGGAGGAACTGATGCCGTGTGTGAGAAAAGGAGATGGTTAGTTGAAACGAATAATTTCTTTCTGGAAGTTTTTCAAGAAAATGCAGGGAGAAAGATTTCAAAAGTCATAGAGAATGTTGCCGCCCCAGGCTTATAGTGCTGTTTGACATGTCCATAAGCAATGTATGCAAAGAGTGCTTGTGCATATATGTAACATCTCTTCTAAGAGATGTTTACTGCGCCACACTCCCAAAATAAAACACTAACTATGCTCAGGCTAACTGAGCGATATCATTATAACTGAACCAGAAAAGCGACAGACTTCCATCAAGCCCCTCTGGGAAATATAAAAGGTCAAAAAAAGAAAGGAAACAAAATAAAATGACACAAACCACTGCCACCATATGTGACAGCATTTTTGGTGCAATTGACCTGACAGAAAAGAGGCAGGATTCAAAAAACAAGTGGTACAATATGTCCTTTCCATTATTTGTATATCTGCAAAAGCAGCATGTTCATACAGAGCTCAAAACTGCTACCCACAGCTGCCATTGCATGCAAGTTGTGTGACAATATAATTGAAGAGAAAAGTTACACTGCGTATTGTGGCATGCATTCAGCTCAATTACAATTCCCCAAAGAGATGCTTCCCCCTTTCCTCCATGCTGTTACAGTTAGTCTTGTTAAGCTTCAAAGCTCAGATACTTATGGAGAGCAACATCCATCACGACTCCTAACGATGGATTGCATTATTAGGAAAATGACAGCAAGATCAAAGCATTCAAAGATTTAAAGCACATGCTGAAAGGTGTATTATTGAAACACCCTAGCAGACTATGTGGCTTGCATTGTTCTCACTTTAGAATTTGCTTTTAGAAATCTTTGGAGAGATCACCATATGAGCTAACAACCCATACTTTCATAGAAGCTACACTGTATAAACAGCAGAACTTAAGTAAGTTTATTCCCTACCTGGAGTTCAGATATGCTATCCTAATAAGAGAATTCACTGTATTTTTTACATATAATGAAAAACAATACAAGTGAAATTGCAAAAAAAGGGGTTACTATTTTTTCTTCCAGCAGTACCACATACGTAAGATGCCTTTTAAGCATCGAGAAAGAAATAATATATAATTAGTGGGAAAAAGCAACTGGCACGTGCATCCATAGAGTGGGCTAAGTCCTCACGCAGCTTCAGAAATGAGTATAATGAGCCACTGTTCTCTGCAAAGGAAGCTCGCAGATGGCTTTACGTGGGAAATGGTCTGATGGATGCTTACTTCAAGAATGGAGTTCAACAAAAGATATAGGACTATCACCAGCATGGATGACAGACCAGTAAGAAATAGGTAGGGAAACAGGAATTGTCTGGTACTGCTTTTCACTGATCAATTACTTAGACTGAGAACAATTTTAAAGCACTATAGGATTGGCTGTCAAAGATCAACTGATTTCTAGGATCAGATGTATTCTGACCAATCATATTTGTATCTCAGCTTGAACTGCTTGTAATTCAATCAGCAGTTCCAGAGATAGTAAAGAGTGAGTGCCTGATATGCCAGGTAAATCCCTGTTCATTTTCTCAACTGGCTGGAAGATGAACAAGGATTCTGATTCCCACACGGCCCAGAAGAGAGGAACTAAGTGACAGCATCTGATCATGCTCAAGTAGAATAACTGAACTGCAGAATAATATTCAATATTCAATTCTGATCACCCCTCAAGAGCCTTAGAGTTTTACCAGCAGAGAGCCATCTTGTTTATTTTGCTCCTGCCTCAAGTAATGTGATATACTTTGATTTATCACAGTACATACAGTAGACATGCAGAGTGAACACACCCAGGAAGATGAACACCCCAAAATGTGTAGAGATAGAATTGCTAGAATTACCTGCAAGCCTTTCTTTTCTATCTTCTGTTGAAGTATCTGAAGGCATTTGGTGAAATCTGTTAATTCTTGATCTGGTGTCTCTATGAGCTCACACCCCTACAGAGAGGCAAATAAAAAACAAAAAGAAAAAAGAAAACTGAATTATCTTACAGCGTTAGAATCAAGCAGAGTTGTTTCTATAGCTTTACTAAATGCTGTATTATCTATCGAAACACAGCTGGCACTGGCTGCCAAAATTGCTGGTACAACAGCTCCAATATTACCTGCAGAAGCCTTTGCTTATATGGGTATCATCCACATGGGTGTCTTCATCTCCCAAAATTACCTAACCTCCATGTCTATTGCTATGAGTTCTGTGAACTGATGACCACACATTTGGTTGGGGAAAGTTGATCTAGCTACAGTGGGACATATTTAGATTATTAAAATGCATTTTCCATGAAAGGCCTTTGAAAATGATTTAGAAATTACATTTATACCAGACTTTTATACATTTTATACATTATACAGAAATTACATTTATACCAGACATTTATACATTTATAGGACAGAGCTCAGATCTTATTAAAAGTATAACCTTTAATCCTACCCAAAGTCGTTGAGTGGTCCTAACACTTTAAATTATAAATCAATGGTTTCCTAGCTCTAGCTAGCTAAGGTCTTCAAAACTCTCAATAAGAGGTACACAACCTGAGACCCCAGAGATTTCCAAAAGCTGTTACTAAATTAAAACATCAGATTGTAAGAGAGAAATTAAATACATAACTGGAGAGGAATCATATACAGTACTCCTATACTCCTTTCAAGTAATTTTAAATATAAAGAAAATCAAATCAAAATTAATTTTGGTGCTGGCTAGGGAATGTACTTATTACTTTTTGAGTATAAAAAGTATTTGAGTATTTCTTCCCTGGCATGGAAGAAGTTGCACTCCCTTTTCCTAAAGTTTGGGACCAAATCATCTGAAGGCACCAGGCACTTTTACACTGGAATGTTCAAGCATGACATTTGACAATGGAGGCCCTGCTGTCCGGCTGGCTTGGTTAGTTCTTTCTAAGTAGCAGCCCCACATCCCTGGAATCCAATGGTAGAGAAGTTCACTTTATTTATATTCTGTCACAACGATAAAAAAGACCCTTGGGAGGTAACAATAACAAACAAAACACAGTAATAGAGACCAAAAATACCTTAGAAATACATTTAAAAAACTCAAAATCGCTATTAGATTTCCTTCCTTCCTTCCTTCCTTCCTTCCTTCCTTCCTTCCTTCCTTCCTTCCTTCCTTCCTTCCTTCCTTCCTTCCTTCTCAGTTTGGCTGAATTACACTATACTTGAAAAAAATATACAAAACTGCTGACTTCAAAGTTGCTGTGTCATGTGTGTGAGGGTAGTGCACTCTGAACAGCAGATTAAATATATGGATAAATAAAAACAGAGCTGGGTTCAGATATATTTATAGACAAGGATTAAAAAAACCCCTCAAAACCAAACAACTTTCACTCTATTTTACATGAAAAAGTTTGTAATCATGCAGCAGCTGTGACCATATAACCAACACACTATTTCAAACAAACTAATATCGATAGGACATGACTGAACATTGAAGGTTCATCACAATAAAATTTAGGTTCACCATTGGAAACATAATGAAATGTATAGGATCTCATACAAATACATACACACACATATACACACACATATACACACATAATATGCAATATTATATAAATGAGATATACTTAGGAATAATATGTAAGACAGTATAAGATAACTTAGACATTGCTTTCATATAAAATAAAACATGTCCCATGCCCTGCTAGATGCTTCATCCTGTGGCTGACCATCTCTCTATGGTCAACTGACTGGCTCAGTTTTGCTTGTTGGTGCATATGATGTGCAGATGTATCATAAACTAAACCAAATCAATCAAATGTTGAAAATAAAAGCTCATGGAAGATTAAGAGATATATCAGATTGTGTGTGTTTTTTTCTGAAACTAAACACTGTAACTCTAGAGATGTTTTAGGAATGATTGGCATTTGTGTTTAAAAAAAATAAATCTCCTGAAAACAATCAGGCAAAATAGATATAAAAAATAAGTACTTTTTCTTCTGATAAGTACTTTCAAAACCAGGTTTAATTGTATGCATTTTTGCTTTTTCAAATTTTAAGTAAGCGGACTTTGTTGAATTCATTTTCAAAAATCTTACTGCATTACTTCATTGACCAAGAAGCCAAATCCTGGAAACTCTCTTACTCTCTATTTACAATACTTAGTAAAAACACTGAATATGCATGCCTTAGAATGTTTGTATACAAAATAGTGGAACATGTATAGAGGAGAGCATATAGTGGAGAGATCGGGACACTTCATTCAGAAAACAGAGTCACTCTGCCTCAAGTGAAAGCCAGCAGAATCTCTCCATCATTCATGGGCCTCTGTACAGGCAAGGAACCCCTCTTAGTGTCTGGATCAAAGCAACACAGCTGTTCCAATCCAGCTCTTTGAAGGAAACATAATTCCAACCTGTGGTGCTGCTTTGAAGAGGCACTTCAATTGAAGCTTCATCGAAGTAAGACACTCCTTTGAAGATTATAAATATTTGAAGAAAATTTACTCTTCAAATATAGAGACCTTTGGAAATCCAAACACTATCAAAAATATGTCGCTTTGTATGAGCAATAATTTGAATGCTGAAAACTTCCATTTTAGTTTAAGATCCAAATATTACATTCCTAATTGTTCTAACGGAAAGCCAACATTACCGAATAATATTTTAAAAGATACTACTTCATGCATGACCAAAAATAGTCAAATTGTTTGGGGTGGGGCTGTATGTTGATTAACTTATGGCCACCAGGTTTTTGAATGCAGTGTATGCAAGAATAATTAAATAGAAAATTGAAGTTGTCATCATTGGCAGATAATAACAATATATTTTATTAACCACGCCTGACCATATCAAAAAGCTATAAAAACAATACAGAGAAAACAGTAGGACGTGTTCATGATAAACTGTCAGCCCTGCAGTCAACTCCAATCTGTTCTATGTGGTCTATCCTCTTCAAAGTGGTCTTTGATATAAAAATTGTAATCTTGCTAGTAATATGCAGGTTCACTCCCTGCAAGAAGTAAGAAAGTTTCTCCTGGGTGTCCCAATATTTTTTAACTTTTAAGTAAAGATCTAAGTAAATGGTCCTTTCTGCAGAGAACAGTTTGCCATCAAGCTGGATACATGCGATGTCTCCAACAACTGGTGCACCATGTATACATGGTCTTTCTTCAAATGAAACTCCATGAAACCTCCCATCTCTTTCTATGGAATCTAGTTGTTCAAAATGTGCTCGATAGAAAGCTTTTCTAAGATGTTGGGGCATATAAATTGTTAAATACTTTTCTATTTGGGAGGCTGCTTTGTGTTGATCCAGCCACTTTTAAGGACTTAGCACATTTAAAGGATGTGATATCATTTTGGTGTGGAAGAGAGGCTGTTCAGGGACAATTGCAGGCAACTGTGCTGCCTCCCCCCCCCCCCCGCCCCTTCGAGGCTTCTCCCCAGCGTTAGCACAGCAATAAAAGCTGCCAATAAAAGCTGCAACCTTGAAAGAGGTGGAGATGAGACAGGAGGAAACAGAGGAGATGGAAGAGCAGCAGCAAACAACAGAGAAAAGCAGTTGAATAAAAGAAGGCATTTTTCCTTCAGAGAGACTGAATGGTCCAGAGAAAAAGAACTATAGAGGCACAACAAGGAAAAGTGCAAGTGTAAAAGCACAACGTGGAAAGCTGCAAGAACTCTACATACTGGCCAGTAACAGAGAAGAAAAAAACCAGAAGAAATTCCACAGAGAGAGAGGGATTAAGGCAGAAGAGTGTTTGTAAGAAGAAAACATTGTTATAGAATAGTTATGCAATAGAGTATAGTATAGAGGAAATACTGTAATAGTAATTGAATAGTAATAGAGTATAGTAATTATTGTAATAGTAATTGCATAGTAAAATAGAAATAATAGTAATAGGACAGAGGCAACAGAAAACACTCATATATAGACTTGTAAGTTTCATATTTCACTTCTGTATCTTGTTTTTTTCAAAATAAAACATATCCCCAACCCTTATAGGAAGATATAAAAACACCTGTCCAAAGTCCAGTGCTTTTATGGCTCTTTTGTGTCTCCGTCAATCTAATTGGGGGCAGTTTAAAGAAGAACCAGTGACACTTGGGCAGCAACATCCAAGACCTTTCATTTAAATTGTGCTTGGCCTTCAGATCTGATTGGACTGGGAATTGGGCAGAGAATCCATGTTGTGAGATAATATTTGTAAGTTAGGCAGCCCAAGTGAGAGGAGAGGTAAATAACAAAAGTTTGCGCACACGTGCCAAGTAGTAAGGCCATGCAAGAGGACTGAGTTTCTGTAGAGCTAAGGAGGCATTTCTTGAAATGGATTGTATTAAGGATTTTCGGATCTACGTCAAAGCACATTCATTAAAAGCAGCTCAGGATCTCATGGGTTTCAGGGCATATCCTGAATTGGACCAGAGCTATGTGCAGGGAATACTGTTGATTGGATTTTGCTTACCAGGATAAACTTGATCTGTGGATGAAGAAGGAGCTGAAAATAATTTTACATCAGGTCTCTGCAATGATCAAGACTGAAGTGGAAAAGGTGATCTGGAATAAGACGTGGGCATATATAGCAATTGTTAGCACCTTCTTAAATCAAACACATTTCTTCTTCCTGCTGTGTAATTCCAGGAGAAGCCACCATTTCTTTTCCTATGTGAGCAGCCTGACATTCTCCAAAAACCTTTTCCCTTTTGAATTCTGATCACCATTCTGAATTATTGCTACATCACATAGCACTCATCTGTTAAGCTGTAAACTGCAACATTTTGTTGCAATATTGCAGGAAGTGTGTTAAGCTATAGCATACTTATTGGTTTACAAACATAGTCGCCTTTTCATTGTTAGGTTGCTAAAATGGTAGCAGAGAGAAAGCAGTAGGAACTATAGTAAGATTCCAAGTCATGCATCCATACATTCAAACTTTCAAGGAATAATTATGTTAGCCTGATTAATAGGAGAGGTAGAGATATTGCCTTATCACACTCTATAAATGGCATTATAGAGTAGTAGTGATTGATGGGGAAGTTTGGTCTTTCAGCATGTAAGATGAATTTCTCTACTAAGTCATCATTTCAGCTTGCAAGGGGGCTGATGCCTGCAATTTTTAAAGTGCTTTGGAGTCATGGACAGTTCTCTTCCATGTGAATAGAAGAACATTCCTTGAATTATGCAGGCTAGTTAACCAACTGCAAAAACTTCTCCTTTTTATC